TGGGTGTGCCCCTGGGGCCCCCTCTCCCCTTCGCCTCGAGCCCTCTCCTGGGGCTCCGGCTGCTCGGCTGCTCGAGCGCCGTCCGGCCGTGGCGACGAGGAGCCCTCTCTCCGAGGACCGGAGGCCGAGGCATCGCGAGGGGCCCTCCGCCGGTCGCTGCCTCGGCGGCCCCGTCGCTCCCCGTCGTCGGCGGCCGAGCAGCGCAGAGCCGCGGGGTCGACCCCAGCGGTCCAACGCACCGAAGAAGACATCGAGACGGAGGTTTCTCGCGATTCTCGGCCTCCGGGGGCCCTCGCCGGGCCTCGGGACCGTCAGAAGAGGACGCGGGATGAGAATCCGGTCCTGGGAAATGGTCGAGACTTCAGGGACCCCGTATGGAAAAAGTCACGACGTCGGATCTCTGGGACTGCCGACGTCCTCCCAGCCCCTGGTGCGGCCGCCGTGCTGGAGCAGTGGGCACTCTGTCTGCGCACCGGGTGGGTTCAGCATTCTGCTCATGGCAGTCCTTGGGCTCCAGAGCTGGTTCTACTTGATCGTCACCGTCACTGCGCCCTGGTAGCGCCCGCGGGTGCGCCCTGGCTCTGGCCCTGGCTGCTGCCGCGGTCCCCGCTGCCCTGGCTGGTCGCCCCTGCCCGCTCACCGCAGAAGTTTTCTACGTCTGAGCGCCCTCCCCCTCCACCCTTCGCACGGCCGCTCTCGTCCTAGCCTTTCTCTTTTTCACGCTGGACAATTTGCCTACCGGTTGCCCCGATTAGCCACATGCTGGTGCGGATTGCCTCTGCTTCGCCGCCGACGAAATAAATGCCGACGTCCTCGCGTGCGCTGCCCGCGCAGGGGCGCGCGCGAGCGCCATCGTTTCCGGTGCGGCGTGCCTCGCTGGCGGTCCGCGTAAGCCACGGCGTGAGGTCGCGATGCCATCGTGCGCCAGACCCGTCTATCCAGCTGCTTGCAGCGATTCTTAAGTGGGGGATATCCTTCTACAGGAGGAACATCCCATAATGGTATAAAAAAGGATGGGGCGATTATTCGTTGTTGTCATGGGCTAATGTTTTGATTATGTTTTCCGGTTTCTTCCAAAATCCGCCTGTAGGAGGACATGCCCGACCGAAATCAAGTCCCGAAGCCAGGCCAGCCCAACATTTCTGGTCACCTCAACACCCCCGGCGGCGTGAGAGAGTGACTAGCTGGAGGGACAGCGGTGCATGGAGAGCCGCTATATATATATATATATATATATATATAAGTGGGGGGAGGTGTCTTCTATCAGAGAACAGGAGCCCTGCCAGACAGCCCCTCACACTCTTCCACCCCTCAGCCTGCACCATGCCCAGGGTGGCGGGCTTTTGTCGCTGTGATGCGCGTTGAAAAAAAAACACTTGCTTTCTTTACGCCGACGTTGGCGCGCAAGCTGCCCGCGTAAGGTCGCGCGTGAGCGGTCGTGCCTCCAATGCTGCGTGCCCCCGCCGGCGGCCTCCTGTGTGAGCCGCCGGGCAAGGCCGCCACGCCATCTCGTGCAAAAACCCGTTTTTTAATTTCGTCGCTCAAACGGCGGCGCCCTCTGTTCTCGGCCTAGGCATGCCGGTGCCCGCCCCGCCCCACCGCCGCGCGCCCGCGCGGCCCCGCGCAGGCCCAACACTCGTGGCAGACGGGCGTGGTCGGCCGCCTCCGCCGCCGCTGCCGGGCGCGCGCGCGCGCAATCTCGCCGCCCTCGGGCGCCTCCCCCCCCAGCTTGGCATCGCTCGGACGTGTGCATTTTCTTTTTCGGCGAGGACCTTCGAGGAGCATCCTCGACCACTTGGCGAAAACACCACGCACGAAACCGAACAAAAAACAGAGAATGGACGTCCGAGCGATGGCCAGCCAGGGCCTCCATCGGCTACGCGCAAGAGTGACCTTTTGCCGGAGTCGCCTTTGATGCGGGCACGCTGTGGTCCCCCGGTGCGGAGCTCGATGTTCTCCAAGAGACGTTACCGATGCATCGCCAGCGCATCGCGATGAGGCGCGGTCCTCCGACCCCATCTGCTGGGGCCCTATGTGGGAGGCCTCTACAGGAGGAGGAGCGCACTCGATCCCAGAGTTGGGGGAACGATAGGAGGGGGGTTGGCTCGGGGGCAGCGCTGTGGGGGAACGGGCCCAGCTGGGAAGCTTTCGATCGCTTTTCGGAGTGTCTCTGTGGCTTCTCGGGGCCCAGGGTGGTCCCCATGCGCTGCGCCTCGCCGAGGGCGTTTCGGGGGCTCCAGAATCAGGAGGAAAAGAAACACACAGACACAATGAATCCTCGATTCCCCAGAAAATATGAGAAAATATGGGAAGTGGGTGCAGCAGAAAATATGGGACAAATATGGGGAATCTTTTCATTTGTGTGGGGCCCCTTCACAGAAGCTTCCCGAAGTGCCGCCCGGCAGAGCCGAGCCCGGGGCCCGAAATCCACGGGGCCCTGCGGGCGGGGGACGGGCTCAGGTCGGGCGGGGCGAGGGTGAGGAGGAGGAGGAGGAGGAGGAGGAGGAGGAGGAGGAGGAGGAGGAGGAGGGGGAGGGGGAGGAGGAGGAGGAGGAGGAGGAGGAGGAGGAGGAGGGAGGAGGAGGAGGAGGAGGAGGAGGAGGAGGAGGAGGAGGGGGAGGAGGAGGAGCGCTCCGGAAGGCTCCGAGCAGGCTGCGGCGCCCGCGATGCATCTTCCCGAGCCGCCAGCTCTCAAAGATCCTCGATATGTTTTCGGTTCTGTTCGCCCGAGTTGATCCTCGTCCTGGCTCCATCTGGTCCAGCGGAGACGCCTCGACCAACAAGGCGCCCACTCCTCGCCAGTGCAGGAGCCCGTGTGCCCCACTCCGCCCGGGAGCGCGCGGTCTCGCCCTCGCGGGGGGCCCGTCGCCGATCCGTCTGCGGTGGGTGTCGCCGACTCCGGGTCGATGCTGCCTCCCCGGAGCGGGTCCCCCCTGGTCGCTGCGCCTCCTTTGGAGGGGGGGGGGGGGGGCGAAGGTTCTCCGACGTGCGCGTGGGTGCCCCGAGGTTTTTCTTCCTACAGTGCCGTTTTCAACACATGCTCCGCGTGCCGTGCGGATCGTGTAATACACAAATGCAGAGATCTAGTATTAAAAACCCCAATGAGTTCATGCATAAAGTTATCCATGACTTAATCATGTATGAAGATCCCTATGTTTCTTAACACCCTATGTATTAAAGAACTGCCCTGTGGCCTCCGTGGGCCTTCGGCCGCCGTGCCCAGACGAGAGCGAGCGCCCGGATCGTCCCGCACGGCCGGCGGAGGCCCGAGGGATGGCCCGAGGACCACGTCTCCGAGCAGTGGCGAAGCGTCCCGGCTCGCCTATATACACCCACCAGAGTATGTTCTGAGAACCTTTTGCGGTTCCCCGGAGATGTTCTAAGAACATGTCCTGGCTGGGACTGTCTTGTTTCATCACATCGGGTTCAGGTTCTGAGAGCATTCGGGGGTGGACAGAACCCCAATAGTGACACGTCGATTAGTGAATTGTCCGTTTTCGGTTCTCGAGAGGGCGCCGCGGCCGCTATTTTCCAGGCTTGCGCCCGCCAGGTTTGGGCCTCAGGTCGTTTTCACTAAACCACGTTTTACTAAAGGGAGGTCTGTCCATCCCCGAAAGCAGTGGCGAAGCGTCCCGGCTCGCCTACAGCCCCACCAAAGTATGTTCTAAGAACTGTTTGTGGTTCCCCGGAAATGTTCTAAGAACATGTCCTGGCTGGGACTGCCTTGTTTCATCACATCGGGTTCAGGTTCTAAGAGCATTGGTTTTGTTCTTAGAGCATTTTTGGGTTCTAAGAACATTTCGCAGTATGGCTATAGAAATGCCGGGACGGTCGGTCCCTGCTCAACATCTCCCTTGCGTCGAGGAAGTCGCATGACGCGAGGCAGGGTCGGCGGCGCGCAGCAAGGCAGGGGGTTTCTTGTGAGCGATCCTGGGTTTTGAAAAAAGAGCCTTCTCAGGAGCCCCCACCGGGGCCTTTGGTACTCTCCGAGAAGGCTTCCGCACTCTGAGAAGCCCCCCGCCCTCCCGGAAGGCCGCCCCGCTTGTGTTCGCCACCAGGATTCAGGGAATCTCGTATTTTCGCGATGTCGAGTACGATTCTGGATCGCGAATCTGCCGTGGGGAATGATAGGCCCTCCAACGGAGGTTGCCCATCCCCCTCTCCCTCCTCCTCTCTCGTCCTCCCCTTCATCCATCTCGTCCTCTTCCTCGAACCCTCCCCCGTTGATCCAGGGGGGGCGATTATTTTCCCATCCAGAGTAGGGAAGGAGGATGGACGTTCGAGGATGCACGCACATGATTGATGCTTTTCTCGCGGTCACGTGGCGCCCGTGGGCGTCCACTGGGCGAAGGCGGGAAGCGCCGACCCGAGTAAGACCCCCCTTGGGTGCGAGCAGTGCTTAGGGGACACATGTTCTGCCACAGCAGGATGTCTCGTGGTGGTGCACACAGACCAGGACCTTCGGTCCCTGCTCAACCCGCTCTCCCTCTTCTCTCCTCTTCCACCTCCTTCCTCTCCCTTCCCCTCCTGCTCCTCTCCCTTCCTGCTCCTCTCGACCTCCCCTCCCCAGGCCTCTGGAGTGTTGACTTTTTCAGTCTGTGGACCCCAGCAGCGTCGACCCTTTCTCCATGGGCCTCGTTTTGACCCCGGATGGTTGTTTGATGGCCCAGGGGCTCGGAAATGTGGAGATCCCCAAACGGTGCGGTGATCACACCGCCGCGTGGTGAGTCCGTTGGGATTCGGGTTGACCGCACGGTTTGGGGACCTAGGTCGCTCTTCGAGGATGGTCGGGGGGCTGGGGTCTCCAGGGCCTCAAAGCCGTGCGGTGACGGACCGTGCGGTGAGCGGTGAGGTCTTCGGGGATTTCGTTCCGCCGCTGGCTTTGGCAGTCCTGTGCTGCGCTGCGCGGCCACGGGGAGGGAGAGAGAGGGAGCGAGTCGCAAGCAGACGACGGCGAACGCGTAGGCGGGCGGGCAGGCGGGCGGGGAAATCTCGGGGCCATGGCGCACGGCCGGTCACCGCACCACGTTTGGGCCCCAACAAACGGTTGCCGTGGAGAGGCCGACATTTTGGGGAGGCCGCCGGGGCGTCAGCACCTCTCCGCCAGAGTCGGGAAAACGTAGGACTCGCGTAAGCCGGAACTCGGGTTTGCCGACGCCTTTTGGCGAGCGCGCCCTGGATTTTGATGGCTCGGTTTTCGTGGGATGTTTGCAGCGGGTGTTCGCGTCAAACGTCAGACTGGGTTTCGTCATTTCCATGATGGCCCCGACGGGGCAACCCGAGTCCCCCGAACCTGAGCCTCACGTCTCCCCGACAGAAGGGCTGGGGCCCCTCCCCGATGCCCGGGGCCGCTCAGGTCACCAGCTGCGAGAAGTGCGGGGTCCCGCGGCCAGACCGTGCCCACCACTGCAAGGACGGCCTCCGCGCACCCCCCGCCGGCCACTTGTGCGCTGCCGCCGTGCCTGGCAGGCGATCTGCTTGCCCGCACGCGCGGCCCGTATCAGAAGGATGCGCGAGAAGGGTGCAAAGGGCCTTGGACGATCATCTCTAAGCTTTTCAAGCGGGGCGCGGCCAACGAAAGCGGTCAAAGATGGACCGTGGAGACAAGGATGCAGGGGTACCATTGGGAAGGCTGCCCATCCTTACCATGCGGGTTGACGGTAGCCCCCGTACTTATGCGACCCCCAGATGCGATTTCTCGGGGTGAGAGTCGCGCGGGGCCCCCCGCACCGAAGGCCCTCCCCCCTCCGGGGTCCGACAGCCCGCACCCGTGCCTGTAGTGTTGCCATCTCTTGGCCCTTCCCCACTCCTCCTCCCTATCGGCTTGAATGTGCGCTAATATTCCGTCGCGATCCCCGAGCTCCCCCCATAATAATCTGGCCGCTAAGAAGCGAGGGGGGCATCTGGGATACGCCCTCGGGGGGCTATTCGAACGCACCCCCCTCGAGGATGGACGTCCGCCAGTCGCACATCTCCGAGCTGGGCCAAAAAATGATGTCTGGGTCGAAAACCCCACGGACTCGTGGATGTAAGTGGGTCCTTCTGGTCATGTGGGAAGATCAACATGCGTAATACTGAGATGGGATTGTGCTGTCTGCTTCTTAAGTATTTAATCGCTTCGCTCATTCCGCCGGCCCCGGAGCCCTTTTTTAGGGCCTCTTGGGGACCTCATGGGAGTCTCTTGGGGCTCCTTGGCGGCGTCTTGGGGGCCCCCAGGGCCTCTTTGGGGGCTCTTGGGGGCCTCTTGGGGCGGGAGGGGGGGTAGTCGATGGCGGCCCCCCCCCTCGGAGGCCACGATCCTCGTGAGGGGTGTCGAAAAATGGCCCTCCCTTGGAGCGCCCTGGGGACCTGACCAGGACCTGACCGGGACCTGGCCAAGGTACTTTTCGTCTGGGGGCCCCCAGGGGCCGCTCCGCGCGCGCGAACTAGAAATAGTGTTAACCAGTTACCGGAGATCTTAGCACGCCTCTGGCCCGTTGGGCCAGCGAATTGTGAAGGCTTTACGGCCAGTGCCGCCGACCCAGAAGGACGACGACCACGATAATGACGACCACGACGACTAGGACAGCCACGAGCTGATGACCCTGCCACAATCTCGGGACATTGGGCGGGCCGTGGAAGAAGGAGGATGAAGAAGAGGAGGCGGCGGAAGCGGAGGCGGGGGCGGAGGCGGAGGCGGAGGCGGAGGCGGAGGAGGAGGAGGAGGAGGAGGAGGAGGAGGAGGAGGAGGAGGAGGAGGGAGGAGGGAGGAGGAGGAGGAGGAGGAGGGGGGGGGGGAGGAGGAGGGGGAGGGGGATGGGGGAGAGGGAGGCGGAGGGGGGGAGGGGGAGGGGAGGGGGAGGGGAGGGGGAGGGGGAGAGGGAGAGGGGGAGGGGAGGGGGAGGGAGGGGGGAGGGGAGGAGGAGGAGGAGGAGGAGGAGGAGGAGGACCAGTGCAAACCCAAGAGTCATCAACGATGTTGGAATTTACCCTCCCTCCAAGCTCCCTCTTCACAGGCCCCTACAACGGTTCATTTCCATTGAAGGAACTGCCTCGTTGGAAGACAGCCGTTTGAAGATCCTGAAGCATGCCAAAAAATTGTTCTCGGGAAGACTTCAGCGCCACGTATCAACCTGACTGCTGCGTCTCGACGATCCGGAATCGTGCCAGAGCGTCATTTGTGGGACTTCAACACCGCGAGTCAACATAGCTGTTGCTCCCGCATAATTCTGAATCCTTCCAAACACCATTTCTGGTACGCTGATCATTGGAATCCGAGAAACTCTTGCACATGCTTAAAAACGAATGTATGCGGCGATAAGGCGATAACCACATTTTGAAAAGGAGCCGCCCTCAATCAGTGAAACTGTTGCACATGTTTAAAACGAATGTGCGCGGCGCTAAGGCGAGAGCCGCATTTTGAAAAGGAACCGCCCTCAACCCGTGAAATTCTTGCACATGTTTAAAGCGAATGTGCGCGGCGCTATGGCGAGAGCCACATTCTGAAAACGGCCCGCCCCCTCTCAATGAAACTCTTACATTTGTTACGAATGTGCTAGGCGTTAAAGCGAGAAATCCACCCGCCCTCAATCCGTGAAGCTCTTCCAAATGTTTGAACAGAATGTGCGCGGCGCTAAGGCGAGAACCACATTTTGAAAACCTCCCGCCCTCAATCTGTGACGTTATTGCAAGATGTTAAATATAATGTGCGCTGCGCTACGGCGAGAGCCCCATTTTGACAACCACCCGCCCTCAATCCTTGAAACTCCTTGCCATGTGTTAAAGCGAATGTGCGCTGTTCTCGGGCGAGAACCACATGTTGAAAACCACCCGCCCTCAATCCGCGAAACTCTTGCACATGGTTTAAACACTAATGTTTGCGGCGCTAAGGCGAGAACCACATTTTGAAAAGGAACCGCCCTCAATCAGTGAAACTGTTGCACATGTTTAAAACGAATGTGTGCGGCGCTAAGGCGAGAGCCGCATTTTGGAAAGGAACCGCCCTCACTCCGTAAAGCTCTTGCACATGTTTAAACGAATGTTCGCGACGCTGAGGCAAGATCCACATTTTGAAAACGACCCGCCCTTAATCAGTGAAGCTCCTACATGCTTTGTCGAATGTGCGCGGCGCTGAAGCGAGAGCTACATTTTGAAATCCACCCGCCCTCAACCCGTGAAGCTCTTGCAACTTTGAAAAGATTGTGCGCGGCGCTAAGGCGAGAACCACAGCTTGAAAACCACCCGCCCTCAATCCGTGAAGCTCTTACACTTTGTTAGAAACGAATGTGCGCGACGCTGAGGCGAGAATCGCAGCTTGAAAACCACCCGCCCTCAATCCGTGAAACCCTTGCAAATGTTTACTACGAATGTTCGCCGCGCTCAGAACCACATTTTGAAAACCACCTGCCCTCCATCTGTGAAATTGTTGTCATTGTTTAAGCTTCAGGGTCATGCATGGTGAGGGAGTTCAGTCGAAACGCCCAGCTCGCCCTAAAAACAGACCGCGGGGTACGACAGGGAGAAGTTATCTAGAAGGAGAAGGAATTGAGGAGGGGGAGAAGGAATAGAAAGAGGAGGAAGAGAGCGAGGAGGAGTATAATGTGGACGAGGTGACAGAGGATAATGATAAAGAGGAGGAGGAGGACGACGGCGAGGATGAGGATGAGGAGGAGCATGAGAACGAGGAGGAGGAGGAGGAAAAGGAAGAGCAAGAAAAGGAGTAGAAGGAGGAGGAGGAGGATTACGAGGAGAAGGACAAGGAGGTGGAGGAGGAGGAAGAGGAGGAAGAGGCAGAGGAGGAGGAGGAGCAGGCGGAAGAGGACGAGGAGGAGGAGGAGGAGACAGAGGAGGAGAACGAGGAGGAAGAGGAGGAGAAAGAAGAGGAGGATGTGGACGAGGACGAGGAGGAGGAGTAGGAGGAGGAGGAGGAGGAGGAGGAGGAGGAGGATGCGGGCGAACAAATATCACGACGCCGCGTGCGATTCATTCTGCTCCCGCCTCCATCTCCCTCCTCGCTCCTCCCTCCTCCTTATCCCTCCCCTCTCATGCGGATCCGTGATCCCTCCCCCCCTCGCCTGCCAACTCTCTTCCTTCCATCTCCAGCCCTCCTCATTTCCCCCCCTCCCCTCCCTCATCCTCCACGCCGCCCTGGTTCTGACTGTAAACTCACACATCATAAAAACAACTCTCCTCTCTCCTGATTCTGCCTGGGAGATGCCCCGCCCTCTCCGCACGCACACACACACACACACACACACACACACACACACGCACCACCCACCCAACAACGCACATGCAGAGACGCAAACACACAGACACGCGCACATACGCACGCACGCACAAACGCACACACGCACGCAACGGCCGCACACACAGGATTGGACACATCTGATGGTCAATATGCTTGTGTTGCAATCCGATTGTTTTCGGCGGTTCAAAATGCTGCTACCGCTGCAGCGTGGGCCTCATATTCGAATCGGCGCTTTGCTCCCGTCGTTCAAAATGGCAGTCTCGTCTCGCCCTAGCGCGGTCTGTTTCCTGGATCCGAGTCCCTCCTCATCGTTGTCGCCCTTCCTTCCTCCTTCTCCTTTTCCTGCTGCTGAGCTCCCCCTGTCCGACTGCGCAGCACACAGGGGGGTCTTGGTGGGAGTCCCAGTTCCGCTATGACAAAAGTCCGCGGGTAGAGCACAACCATCGCAATGGGAAGGGATGGGTGGAATGGGTAGGGTGTCAGATACGTCGCAAGCGCACCTAGCTGGCCCCCACTCCCTCTCTCCCTCCTCCCCTCGCCCTCCTCCCCCCCCCGTCCCTGCAGCAGGGGCGCCATCCCGTTCGCAGGTGTGCAACGCCTGCGTCATGCGGATGGACCACCACTGTCCGTGGATCAACAATTGCGTGGGCGCGCGGGGCGGGGGGCCGAGGGAGGAGGCGGAGGACGACGGAGGGGCACGTCCTGAACATTCGACGACGAGGTCGAGTCGGTGGCGATGTGGTTTCCCGTTTCTTCTTGGCAGTGGTCTCGGGGTGGACGCAGCGGGGGCCAGCGCGATCAACGGGTCGTGCAACGAATCGCGACGGCGGTTTTTCAGAAACGTCTGGCCAAAGGAGGCACTGATTGGGCCCAGGGACTGTCAACAAAACCGATTCAGGATGAAACGCCTGTCCCAGGGCAGGGTTCCAGCCCTTTGGGAAGCCACGCCGTGACAAAAGACGCCACGGAGGATGCGTGGGGAGACGCAGGCTCGTGGCCCATGTGGAGCCGATCCCAGCGCCCCGGACGCCGGGACAGCACAAGCAATGCGTCTGCGAGGCGTAGCCGAGGAGGACGACTGACGGAGGATGCCCCGACCCGCCGGCGTCTTGGTCTATTCCATTGGGTTGCGCCGTGCCGCCGACCCCCGGAGGAGAAACGACGTCCACGGGCGGGGCCTGGCTGCCATTCGGGAAGCGTTGGGGGGGCCCTCTGGGGCAGCCGTGGGGCCCCTGTGGGCCTTTTCGGGGGTCTGTTGGACGGCCTGTTGGCGGTCTCGGGAGGCCCCATTTTGGGGCACAGGGCTCGACATGAAGGCCTGAGCTCCCCCTTCTGAGGGCCCCCTCCTCGAGGCCCCTTCTGCAAATCGGCTCTTGGCAGAAGTGGCACGACCACGGGCCCCAATGGGCCATGCACAAGCTGAATAGTAGCAGGAACGAAAGAGTTAAAACATATCCTCGTGATCAACACCCTGCTGGGACTAGGCAACATCATCATCACACGAACAAAGGTGGGCCAGACAAGTACATCCTAACCCAGGGCACCGATTCCATGAACCTAGCAAGGATGCCAGACCCAGCAGGGATGATGCCAGCTGTAAAACCAGCAATTTCGACTGTACGAGGGGCAGTGTGCACGAGCATGCCAAGATTGAGCATGTGGGGAGGGGACCCGCTCTTCGTACAAAACTTAATCAATAGGACAGGGCTCACATAATCAAATAATATGGTACGGTCCTAGTAGAAGGGCGTAGAGCACCTCCCAGGCACACAGCAACCTCATGGCCAGCCACCTGCCCCGCACCGCCTGCCACGCACCGCAACATGCCACAAATCAGCGTGAGAGGACGTCCACGCATCACTTGCGTGTCGGACGCTCCATTTCAATGGTTTTAGGGATGGGGGGCAATAGCTGCAAGGATGAAGAGGGCAGGCCACAGCACTGCCATCTCACAACTGTTAACAAACAAGCCATGGCCAGGTTCGCGTTTTCAGGGGGCTCAGGAAACGACGGGGGACCCAGTGGCCGACGCGAGCCGCAGTTCCCTTGGAAAACAAAAAAGCCCCCCCCCAGGTGACATCAGAGGGAGAGGGGTGGTGAAGATAACCCACAGCTTGAAGGGAGTGGGGCGAAGGGCAGCGAGGGCGTCACAGAGGGCCTCGCGCTGAGCACAGCTAAGCCCCCCCAAGCATAACATGCATCACGAAATTTCATGAGGTCATTGGGGCGCTGTTCAACTCCTTCTGAAGCAACAAGATAGTCAATGCCTTCTGCGACGTCCCGCCGAAGCCAAATATGAACCTTAATGACGCCACATTGGGGGGGCTTTGAGCAACCGTGCCTTCTGCCCCGCCTTAGCAGTCGCGCGAGCGGCCGACCAGGCGAACTCAATATTGGAAGAGCAGGCATCGCGAAGAGCGGCGAGCTGAAGCCAATCATCGCTTGGCAAGGCCGCTAGCTGAGTCCGCCACATGCAGCGGTATGAGGGGCAGATTCTGCAACCCGCTGGTCAAGGGAAGGACCAAGCCCAACCATATACTGAGCAAGGAGACCTGCCCTAACACGTCCACCACGCCAAAGGGGTAGCTGATGCTACGCCAGCTGCTGAGAATGACGCGCCTGGGGACAACGTGGGATCTTGGAAACCCCGGCCAAGATTACCACTTCGACCACTTGTAGTAATCTAGAATTCAACGAAACCACCACGCTCAATGTCAGCATCAGCATCAACGCAAGGAACAGCACGCGATTGATACATCATTCCAGTAGCCCCGGGCCCAACGTGGTTCATATGAGACAGTGGTAGCTTATGATCCGGCACGTGTAATGGCATGCCGCCCCAAATTGGTTCATGCGGTGCCAAGTGCCCGGGGCACCGAATACGGGCCGTATAGATTTCCAAAGGAAGATCAGGCCGATGTCATAAGGTAGCTGGAGCAGGCTTACAACGTCTCCACATGGTTTGCTGGAGCTCCGAGGTCTGCAGATCAGCCTGTAGGGAATCGCGAGTCTTGAATGGGTGCGCTCACAGCCCGCGACAGACGCACAATATTCACGACCACAACGAGACAAGGCATATTCGATAATGGAGCCGTTGCCTCGAGTGCACGCGATATCCAAGCCCGCTGAGGGAGGGGGGCGCGCGCGCGAGCTGGAAGAGGCTGGGCACCTGCATGGCCCCCGCTGCGATGTCAAGACCTTCCGTTGACAGTCACTGCGCTCAAAGCGCTTCGATACACGAGCTGATGCCTCTCTTTTTTTTCCGGGGTCCCCACCCGCGCCCCCCAGGGCCGAAACCGCGTGAACTATTCCCGCTGCCAGGCAGGGGGGCGAATTTCTATTCAGGGAAAACCCAGCCTCGCCCAGTGCCGGCATCCCTGGCGGATTTCTCTAGGGGCAATAATCGGCGGAATCAACGGCTCACCAGGGCCTCCGCCGTTCATTGGTCGCCCCCTTACAGGGGGGGCAGACGCAGGCTGAGCGCAAGGCTTCCGTTTCATCTTTGATCCGCCCTTCCCGTTGGGTTTGAATTGGCCTCATGCGAGGTGATGCTCGGCCGCGAAAACCCTTTGCACGGGGCCCGTGCGCGGGCTGCAGAAATCTTCGCAGCTGCGTTCCATGGCGCGACGCTGGCAATCAGACAGATATTGACAGGCGGATCAGCCGTCCCCGAATCGGCGGGGGGATTGGCCGCATCTGGCGCAACGCCGTGGAAACCCCCGCCAAGAGGGGGGCGGGGGGGGGGGGGCGAGACAGTCCGGACGCAGCGGCGCCACGTTCGGCTCCACCACCCCCGCCGACCTCTCCAGGGGGGGGGGGTATAGCGCCATGCCCGCGATTGTCGCTACCCGCGTGGCGAGAGCTGGGCTGGTTGAGTGCTGCCAACAGCCGCAGCCTGCTGCGCCTCGTCGGGCCGCGCAGCGGGCTCCTGCCTGCCTGCTTGCCCGGGTGGGCCACCTGTTGAAGGTGTTCTCGACACTGCAGGCGACGACCTCAGCGCCTTTCGCTCCGTTGTCACGGGAACGTCTGGAACTGGGCTTCTCTAGATTGTCCGCTTCGTCCGCGGCGAGAGCTGCCTGCAGATGCAGCTTCCGCAGCGCATCCAACTCAGTCGCCATGTCCCCCCCCCCGCTACATAATCTTCGCGAGGCGTATCATCTCTACTTGCTTGCGCCCCCTCACGTTGCATATCGCGCAGCGCCAGACAGTCTCACGAGGCCGCGACAGTTCGGCGCGCCGCTTGGGCATGTCATCGTCAGAGAGTGAAGCCAGACTGACGGGGGTTGTACATCCGCGCGAGCAGGATCCCGTGTTTTTCCCTGCGCGCGCTGCATGCCCTGCATCTGGGGCGGCGGCGCCAGGTGGCGCGCGAGCAGCGGCATCATCTCCCTGGCGATGTTCTGCCCGCGCGCGTTCGGGGGCGATCTCCGCGGCCGCGTCACTTTTCCGCGCGTCTGCATCGAAGGACTGATGGGCCACGTCGGCGGACTGACTGACGGTTGGTCTTCGCCCTGTCCAGGTCTTCGGCAGCCTCGGCCAATGCTGCGTCCGCCTCCTGGGGATGCATCGTTGGCGCGTTGCATTTATTCTCTGAAATTTATGCACTGGTGGGCAATGCGCTCTGATCGGGCTGCCATCTCAAAGTCTCTGGCCTGTCTGGCACGCCCCTCGCGCGCGCCTGCGCCGAGTTGCCGCGGGCTCTACTCGGCGGGGGCGGCGGGAGGGCGCGCGGCCGCGGGCCCGAGAGTGACGCGAGGATCGGTGCGCACTCCAAGCGAGAGAGTAGCTGCCTTGCGTACCTCTTCATCTGATACTGCCATCTCAGCTTCATCAATCTCCAGGTCTTGCCCATCATTGATCGCGGCGGCGTTGCCAGGGGAGGCGCCCCCGCGCTTGGAGCAGCACGCGCGTCCACAATGCGCGCGTTCCCAGTGATTGCGTCTGCTGGATTTGCAGTCGGTCCGGGGGCGAGACGCAACCCGCCCGAATTTCTATCCACCGCTTCGCGCGCGCAAGTCTGGACCCCTGGGGAAAGCGAGAAATTCTGAGCAGCGCCGTCGCCATTCGTTTGGCGCCATGACTCGCCGCGCGCCGTGGCGCTCGAGTTCAAGAACCTGCTCTGAGTCGCGCCGCGTGAAGTCAGAAACCTGCGTGCCCTGGCAGCTCAGGCAGATCTGCGAACAAAAGACAGCCGGTTGTCACAGGGCACTCGAGGCGGCCCCCGGGGCTGCGCGCGAGCACGCGCCATTGGGGCCCGCGGTTCGTACTTGTGGCAGGATGAGTTGTTTTGTGTTTTTTTTTTTTGTGTTTGGAAACAAAAAACGAAATAAAAAAAGCGGCTCGCACTTGAACCAAAGTGGCTGCGGAGCGCCAGCGTGGAGGCGCGCCCCGGGCCTCGGCTGCGACGGCCACCCCCGTCGGCCAGCCGGCTTGGTCTCAGGGGAACGCCGGCGAATGGCAGGGGGGGGATGAGGATGACGCGGAGCATTCGGGCATTCGGACCTGCCCCGGGAGCCACCTGGCGCCCCACCCGGCCCCCCGCCCTCGCGACGGTCGGGGGATTATCGAAGAGTGCTCTCGCCAGTTGCCGCGCGCCCCCTGCAGTTCCGGCATCCGCGCCCTTGCGGCCGTCACGTCCGCGGCTTCGAAGTGCAGGTGGGGCGCCCCCTTCGTGGAGTGTCCCGCGACTTTCTCGGTCATGCTCGCTCTCTGGCGCATTGCTCGCGCCCTGTGCGCCTGGCGGGGCCAGCGGCGCTGGTGGGCCGAGCGCCTTGAGTTCGCCCCGTCCTCGGCACCTCTCTCCAAGCTATCTGCCTTGCCGCTCGCCCTCCTCGGACGCCCCCTGGGCGGTTGCGCGCGGCCCGTCGCGCGGCCGCGTTCGGGCTGGTCGCCCGCCCAGATCCGCCCAAGCTTCTGCCCGTCTGGGTTTGCGCCGGGCCTGCCCTCGACCCGCGGGCCGCGGCCGCTATGGCCGAGATCGCGACCTCCTCTGCTGTCCCGCCCTACTTCGATGCTTCCCCCCCCGGGGGCAACGCGCCCTCCGTGCGCGCGCGCGCGCCCCGCAACTTCGAGCGCGTTTGCAGGCAGGCGGAACGACGACGCGGAGGGGGTGAACGATCTCGACATCGCGGCTTCGCCCCGGCCCCCGCCGAGCTCGCGGCGCGGCAGCCTCAACAGCAATCTTCTTCCTGTCGGTCTTGCGCGGCGTAGCCTCCAGCGCCCCGACGCGCCGGGCCCGGCGTCGGGCGGCTGTCCGCGTCCTGCGGGCGCGTCGCGGTCTCGGCCCGTCATGTCCGGGCCAGATGACCCCGTTTCCCTTTCGACCGCCCCGCCCTCGGTTCGGAGCGTGGCATCGCCGAGGCCTGGCGGGCTGCCCAGCCAAGGGCGACGTACATCAGCGGCTGGATCACCGCGATCTTCGGCCCCGCCATTGAGGCCAGTGATGTCTGGCAGGCTCGGCGTGCGCATTCTGGAGGCCCTGCCCGCGGGCGCCAGGGCGGCGCCGGCCCCTGGGCCTGCGACTCGGCGGCTGGCGGCGGCCGGCCCGGACGGCACTTCGCCCCCGAAGCGGCGACCCGCGCCTCCTCCCCCCGGCCCCCTTCCTGACCCGGCTCGGGCGGGCGCCGCTGCCGAGGCGGGCGACGAGGTGCCCGACTCCGCCAACGATGGCGACTTCGACGGCCCCCCTCCGCCCCCGCCCCCTGGCGGCGGCGCGGCGGTGGTCGGCGCGCCGCGCGCGCCTCGGAGCCGCCCGCGGGAGCTATTTCCCGTTCCCCCGTCGCCCCATCCGCGGCTCGCGCCGGAGGGCGGGGCCCTTGTCGGAGAGGCCCCAGCGTCGGCCCCATCTCCTCCCTTCCCCTCCTCGCTGGATTCGGCGTCGAGCAGGATCGATGAAGCTCTCTTTTGTGACTCCGGCCGGGCCTCGCTTGGCCGGTTTCTGTCTCGCCCTAGATTACTTTCTCGGCTTCCGGCTGGGGGCGCCGAGACATCGCGCAGCTTGTCGCCAGCATCCACAAAATAGAAGGCTTCGTTACTTCGCCCCCCCCCGCCACGAGGCCAAACATGTTGCCACAACCTTGATGGCAATTGTGATTGGGGCATTATCGCCGAGTCCTTTCGAGGCTTCTTGCGTGCCCATGGGGCGCCTCTTGGGGGTCTTTTGGGGGCTGTTTGGGAACATCTTGTGGGCCTGTTGGGGGCTTCTTGGGGCCTCGTGGGCGCCTCTTGGGGCAGTTTTGGGGCACCCTGGGGTGCCTCGGGGGCCACTTTGGAGCAGATCGATCAAAGGAGGGGCTGTCCCATATTAGGGCCCCCCCGCCCCCGAAGGTCCACATGTGGCTAAAACCTCAATAGCATCAATGATTGTGGTTTCCAGGAGGGACGAGGGAGGGGGATGGGTAACCCCCGCCCCGCCATGGAAAGAAGGGGGGTGGAACAATTAATGCGCTAAACCGCTCACGCCCTAAAGGGCTGGTAAGAAATCCCCCAACACCCATCAACATGTCTCGAAGATCTTGAGCACTGAACTGAACTCATTCGCGCGGGCCCCAGCGCTGAGACGCCATGTCGTTTGCCAACTCAGTCCACGTGCCGCTTGGCACTCGCCCTGCCAGATAATTTCGCATGGAACAGTGATGCAAATTCTTTACGCTTCGCGTATCCCCACCAGCCCATCTCACAGCAGCAACTCTCGCGAAGCATGCCGACAGTCGTGTTTTTCAGGCGTGTGTCCGCTTGGCCCCGCATATCTCCCCTGTTCCTCCTTCCTCCCGCCTCCTTGTACATCCTCCTTGTGGGGGGAGCGGGAGAAGGACGAGGCGGAGGAGGAGGGAGAGAAAGCGCTCCTCGTGATTTGAGTCGTTTGGGGTTTCTCGTCCTGGTGTGAGTCGTTCGGGCCCTTTTTCCTGGTGTGAGTCGTTCGGGCTCTTCGTGGTGTGAGTCGTTCGGGCTCTTCGTCCTGGTGTGAGTCGTTCGGGCTTCTCGTGGTGTGAGTTGTTCGGGCCCCTCATCCTGGTGTGAGTCGTTCGGGCCCCTCCTCCTGGTGTGACTCGTTCGGGCTCCTCGTGGTGTGAGTCGTTCGGGGCCCGCGTCGTGGTGTGAGTCGTTCGGGCTCCTCGTGGTGTGAGTCGTTCGGGCGCCTCGTCCTGGTGTGAGTCGTTCGGGCCCCTCCTTGTGGTGTGAGTCGTTCGGGCTCTTCGTGGTGTGAGTCGTTCGGGCCCCTCGTCCTGGTGTGAGTCGTTCGGGCTCCTCGTGGGGCCTCTTGGGGGCCTCTTGGGGGGGCCTCTTGGGGGCCTCTTGGGGGCCTCTTGGGGGCCTCTTGGGGCCTGGGGGCCTCTTGGGGGCCTCTTGGGGGCCTCTTGGGGGCCTCTTGGGGCCGCTTGGGGGCCTCTGGGGGGCCTCTTGGAGGCCTCTTGGGAGCCTCCTGGGGGCCTCTTGGGGCCATCTTGGGGCCTCTTGCGACCTCCTCAGAAGCGCAAGTGAGAGCTGCCCCCTGAGAAGGACAAAATGAGTCCAAAACCTTTTGTAAAATCAATGATTTTGCTATGAGGGAAGATGAGCGCGGCCCCCTCAGAAGGCCAAAATGGGGCCAAAACCATCGTAACATCAATGATTTCTGCTTCGAAGACGAGCAGAGGGGCCAAAATGCCCCCCCCCCCCCCCCCTCGGGGCCAGAATCCTCGTGAGGGTCGTCATTTTTTGGCGTTCCCAGGAATCGAAAAAGGCCCCCCTGACACCACTCGGGACTCCCTGTCCAGGTCCAGGGGGAGGGGGTAGGGGGAGGGGTAAACCCCTCCCCGAAGGGGAAGGAGGGTTGAGAACAGAGCGGGCTCTCTAAACCACTCACGCCCAAAGGGCTGGTGGGATTGGCTGGTTTGTTTAATGCGATCAAGCCCGACGTTGACAGCACTGATGCACTGATGGTTTCACCATCTGGCGGACGTTTTCGTCCCTTGCGGGATTTATCTGAGCCAACTTGGGTATTGATGATGTGCATACAAAGGCATGGAGCCATAGCTCCAACATGCGTTCCGACATGGAGCGGTGATGCAATATGAACTAGGTCCGGGGTCTACTTCGTGGCCAACCCGGGCTCGCGACGTGACCTGGGTGGGCCCAGGGCTGCGGTGACCCTGAGTCACAGTCTCGTTCTCAACGGGTGGTCTCGGAACACGTGCCCAGATCTTCCCGCGTCGGGCGGGCCCCTCTCTTTGTTGTCCTCCCTCCAGCGCCGGGGGGTGTCACGAGCGCGCGCAGTGGCCAACAGGCCATCCGTTGGGCTTGAGGGGAGCGAGTCCGAGAGTGTTGTTCTCGCGTTCGGGATCCAGGGGCCCTTGGCGAGCCCTGGGATACTCAGAAGACGGCTCAGGACGAAGGCCTGGTCCTGGGGGAAGGCCCCGGGGCCTGGAACCCGTTTTTCCCTCGGGGCCCGTTGCTGCCTCATGCCAGGGGGCACGCATTGCATCCACACGTGGTGGGCGCGCACGAGCTCAGGACAGCGAGAGGCATGCGCAAGAGGCGGGCCCCCGCAGGCATCCACAACCACAAATTCTTCGTGCAGCTCGTCCTCTACGGTCGACCCCCTTGCAGTCGTCAACGTCTTGGCGGTCGGCGTAGTCGTCGGCAGCGGCAGCAGCAGCGGCAGCGGCAGCGCCGCCGCCGCCGCCGCTGTCGTCGTCGTCGCCGTCATTTTCGTCGCCCCCGCCGTAAGCAAGCGGCAAGTGCGGCGATTGGTTGCAGAGGACTCCGAAATTCCTTTTCGAACCCTGCGATCCCGAGGTCTGAGGTTGCAGAGGCTCTACGGAGGTCTTTCCTCGAAGAAGTTGTGGGGTCGACACCCGGATGGCGAGATTAATTCGAGCCTTTTGTATAGTAATAGCCAAACGTGGCAAATTTGCTGATGTTTGGCTAGTAGACGCGCGTTGCAACACGCTCCTCCATTCTCGTTCCCCGTCCTCACGAGCGCGCAGGGGAAGCAGGCGTGTGTTTCTTGCATTTGGGGGGTCTTCTGAGCGGCCCTGGTCGCTACGGCCAGGTCGACCTTGAAATCCTGATCAGGACGCGCTCCAGGGTTCCAGAAGGCCCACAGACCTCCCACCAGGCCCGGGCAGGAATCATTTAAGATGGGGAGATTCATTGTCATACCTATTCGAATGAATGTTGTTTCTTGTCTCGTTAGTCTTTTGTCTCCTGCTGCAATCCACGTACCATCACTTGTCTGTCGTCTTCTACCAGATAAGAGCGACCTGTGCTGCAGTTTTCACCCAGACACGTTTCACAATCCTTTGTCGCCGCCTGTCCCTTTGAGGGACTGCTCCTCTGGAGCCGGCATGCAGGCTGTACCCGTACCTGTACCACAGACTTCCCACCAACGCGGAACAACAAGTAGGGCGGGCAGTTTTTCGTTGCCAGTTCATTTCGGTCTCCAGGGGCCGATCGGAGGGCATATTCTAATACCGCGTCTGGGATTGTCCGCCCCCAGACTCCGACTGTTTTTTCCTGTCTAACGGCCTTCGGCCCATCCCGCCACCGTGCTTGGATTTTGGGTCAGAGTTCTCAGGGATGCTTGTTGTGGTCTCTTCGAAGCGCTCTCGGGGGCCTGTTGGGGGAGCTTCTTGGGGGCATCTTGGGGTCCTCTCCGGGGCTTCTTGGGGCCTCTTGGGGGCCTCTTGGGGCCTCCTGGGAGGCCCTCGGGGCCGAGTGCTCGAAATGTCCGCTCGTGTCCGCCATCTGGGCCTCCTCTTGGGGTCGTATTTGGTACCTCTTGGGCCGTCTTGGGAGCCTTTCGGTCCGCCTCCTTGGGGCCCTCCTGGTCCGTTTTGGGGGCTCTCTTGGAGGCTGCTCGGACTGTTTTGGGGCGATCTTGGGGGCCTCTGGGGCCGTCTGGAAGCGTCGGAAAGCCGAAAAGGCAAGAACGCACGCTTCAGAAACATGTATGGGAAAGCAATGAGTTGACCCTGTTGGGGCCCTCTGGGGAGGCCTTTTCGGGCCCCCTGGGGCGTCTTGGAGGCCTCCTGGGCCGCCGGGGGGCAATCCTGTCCTGGGCCGATCTTTCGGCCACTTGGGGCCCTCTTGGACCGTCCTGGGGGCCTCGTGGGGCCCTCTTGGCCCGTCTTGGAGCCCTCTTGGGCATCAAAAAGTCACGCTCATGGGGCCCGCTTGGCCCGTCTTGGGGCCCTCTCGGGCATCAAAAGGTCTCGCGACGAGATGCGGGGGAGCCCAGGGGGTATGCAGGAAGCCCCAGTAGATTTCGTAGCTTTGGCCTGGGTCCCTCAAATGTTCTTCAGGATTGAAGCGTTGAGGGAGCGCGCTTGTGGCACACTTCTCACTAAAAGGGGGGGCCCAGTCACCCCATCCCCCCTCCCTTGGGAAAGGGCGGGGCGGCTTCCGAAGCTACCCCTCCCTCCTCCCGTTGTTGTTGACAGCTCGGAGCCAGGGAGGCCCTAGCTAAAGGGGGGTGGCTTGGAAGCTGACCCCCCCCTCCTTTTCGGGGCCAAAGGTCAGCCCAGGCTTCCTTTTCAAAAGGGGGGGGTCGGAAGCTCCCCCCCCCTCCTTTTCGCAGTTGAGATTGCCGTGCCAAAAGGGGGGGGGGGGTCAAAGCTACCCTCCCCTCCCTTCCCTTTCCGGAGCCCACGGCCAGCCCGGGCTTACCTTTCAAAGGGGGGGGGTCTTCGGTCGGAAGCTACCCCCTTTTAGCTGAGATTGCCGTACAAAGGGGGGGGGGCTTCAAAGCTACCCTCCCCCTTTCCAGAGCCCAAGGTTAGCCCAGGCTTCCCTTTCAAAGGGGGGCTTCGGAGGCTGCCCCCCCGTCCTTTTCGCAGCTGGTATTGGTTTGCCATGGGGGGGGGGGCGCTTCAAAGCTATTTTTTTCTCCGAACCATCCTGTGGTGTTGGGTCCTCGTTTGAGCAGACGGTGCCCCGCGTCCTCCTCCTTCTTCTCCTCCTCCTCCTCCTGCTCCTCCTCCTCCTCCTCCTCCTCCTCCTCCTCCTCCCCCTTCTTGTCACTGCGCCCTTTAGAGGTGAATCAGATCGGAACCCTTATAACGTTTCGGTTTCGGAGTTCCCAGCGCTGCAGCAGGACCTGCTGGCACACTTCTGCAGAGTCGTTCGTTCGTTCGTTCTCCTACCCCTCCTCCTCCTCCTCCTCCTCCTCCTCCTCCTCCTCCTCCTCCTCCTCCTCCTCCCCATCTCCTCTTCCTCCTCCCCCTCCTCCCTCCTCTTGTCATCCCCTCACTTGGCCACACACCTCACACGTTTTCGTGACCCCATAATGAGGTCGGCTCGGCGGCCTCCTCTTGGGGGGGAGGGGGATAAATAAATGATGTCGGAGAAAAATAACAATCAGGGCTATAGGGCTAGGGGGCTACCGGGCAGGGCTATTGAGCTATAGGGCTATAGAGTTGTAGGACTATAGAGTTGTAGGGCTATAGGGCTATTGGGCTATTGGGCTATAAGGCTATAGGGCTATAGGTCTTAGGGCTATATATATATATAATGGTATAGGGCACCCCCGGGCACGCCCGGGCACCCGGGCACCCCCAGGGCACCCCCGGGCACCCCCCCGGCACCCGGGCCCTGGGCACCCCCGGGCACCCAGGCACCCGGGCGTGCAGCGAAAACTTGCGACAAACCTAAACTAACCATATGAATCCGCTAGGACCCCTACAGAGGCAAGTTGTGATTGGGGAACAAAACCACAGAAAATTGGCGAAGCCGCCCCACCGAGGTTCTTGTGCTTCGTCCCCCCCCCACCCCCCCACCTCCACGAGGATCCACTGGAGGAGTGCGTCTCACTGCCGCGTCCACGGCTGAGTCGAGGCCGTCCTTCCTCCTCTTCCTCCTCTTCCTCCTCCTCCTCCTCCTGCACCTCCTTCTCTCCCTCCGTAGCCATTTTGGCTCAAGATGATTGGTTCCCCTGGGGACCGCACGGATACCGCTAGTCCGCGGCCAGACCACCGCTCGCTTTCACCGTGGGAGTTGGGCGCCCACACCCAGTCCTTTCCAGATCGCGCTGCCACGGCCCACCGTGTGTGCTGCTGCCTGGTGTCGTGGAGATGCCACCGCCGCATTACCGTTCGGAGCAGGCGCTTCCTTGGTACTGCAAGAGCTGCTGCGGGCCCTCGGGGAGACCGTGGTGGAATCATGCAGAGGCGCGGCAGTGTGCGAAGTGCAAGCTGGGCAAGGGACTGGTCTTCCACAGCGTGCGCCAGCCCTCGGCCCCCTCCCAGCGGAAGAAGGGCAATCAGGGCGGCAGCGGCAACGGCTACTGGGACGACTCCGTCAAGGTGGCCAAGCTCAAGTCCGAGCTCGCCGAGGCCCGCAAGCGGCTTGCCGCTGTGCAGAGGCCGCCGCCTGGCGGGGAGGACGTGCAGATGGAGCCGGCCGCGGACGGAGACGGCCCCGAGTCCGTCGCCAAGGACAGGCTACGCGAGGTCGGCGACCTCATCGGCAAGCTCAAGGGCATCACCGAGCCGTCGGTCGTGGCCACGCGCGACAAGCTGCTGGCCGAGCAGGCCGAGCTGCGTGCTAAGGTGGCGGAGTCCCGACCGCTCGGACAGCGCTTGCGCGAGATGGGAGCTCAGTTCACCAGGCTGCAGAAGCTGCGCGACGACCAGCAGACCAAGCTCGATGGGCTGCAGGCGCAGTTGCGCGACCTGCAGGAGAAGGAACGGCTCACTCGGGACAAGCTGGCGGCCCTCGACGCTAGCATGGAGGAGCTGGACCAGGAGCGCAAGAGGCTTCAAGGGCAGGTTCCGACGCCTGGCGACAAGGCGTCGCTCGACGAGCCGATCAAGGGGGTTGGTGCCACGCTCGAGGGCCTCGGGATCTTGCTCCAGAGCCTGGGCGCCGATCACCAGCTGTCGGGCAGCCTCACGGCGAGCTTCCAGGAGCTGCAGAGGTTGCAGGAGGAGGAGGCGGCAAAGTTGGCTGCCCAGAGGGCGCAGGCTGATGCTGGGGCCGAGGCTGGTCCCGACGTCGAGCAGGCCGAGCGGCAGGACGACGCGGCAGCGCCTCGCACACCACAGCCATCTGCCTTCTCCGACGACCCTGAGTTCATGGAGGAAGTCGTTGCGGCTGGGGGCGAGAAGCACAGGCTGGAGGAGATCTTCATGCGTTGGGGTGCCAAGGTCAAGAGGCCCAGGCTTACCCCTGCCTAGCATGGCTCCACGGCGATGTTTTGCGTGTCTTGTGTGGTTCGTTCTCCTTTGTCGCACCATGGCTTCGGTTTCAAGTATCACCACCGTGAACGTGTCCTCGGGCGGCCCGCTCGTCGATTTCCTGCCCACGTGCTCGAGTTTATGCATCGCGGTGCAGGAACATCATGCCAAGGCCGAGGGCGATGCATTGGCGAAGTTGCAGAATAAAGTAAGAGCTGCTGGGTACCATGGTATATGGGAGCCCGCCCTACCTGGGCAGGGAGTTGGCAGCAGAGGCGGGGTTGCGGTGCTGGCCCCGCTGCGGGTGGTCATCACCAAACCCCCAGGCCTGGACAGTCACGTGCTGCAGGAAGGCAGGATGATGGCGGCCCATGTCCACGCTGGGGTGAAGGGCGGCTTCGTCATGCTGTCGTGCT